CAATCAACATGTGGCAGGGCTATGTTCCTTTCTGGAACCTCTGGAGAGGAGTTCATTTGGATTGCTGGCAGCATTAATCCCAAGTGGCTCTAAGATTGGGGTCCACATTCCCTCGTTGGCTATGGACTGGGGGCCGGTCTAGAGACCACGTGGCTTGCAGCCTCCTTCAAAGTCAGCAATGGTGAGTGAGTTCCCCTCATGTTCTAGTCTCTCTGCGTCCCCTGGGCCTTTCCTCCCTCCACGGCCTCCCTCTCTGCCCCATCTCTCTGACTCAATCTTCGGCTTTTAAAGGCCCGTTAGTTACTTACCTCAGGCCCACCTAGATAATCAAGGCTACCTTTTTTTTTTTTTTTTTTTTTTTTTTTTTTATTTATTTGACACAGAGAGAGAGATCACAAGTAGGCAGAGAAGCAGGCAGGGCGGGGAGACCCGCTGAGCAGAGAGCCTGATGTGGGGCTCAATCCCAAGACTCTGGGATCATGACCCGAGCTGAAGGCAGAGGCTTAACCCACTGAGCCACCCAGGCGCCCATACCCTCTCTGTCTTAAGGTCAGCTCATTACTGACCTTAATTCCATCTGCAAAGCTCCTTCAGAACAGTACCTAGATTAATGTTTGACTGAACAACCAGAAGACAGGCATGGGGGGCAGGAATCTTTAGAATGATGCCTGCCACATCCATTTCTATTCTAAGATGGAAAAATAAACTGACCCAAGGATTCCAATCTCCCTGGATTTTTCAGAGTCTGATAATGAACTAACACTGCTATTACGGGAGTTATTTTGATCAAACCTGCAAAGAACTCTGCTGAATAAATATTAAAACCACCTTTATAATCAACAAAACTATGGCTCAGAAGTTAACTTGCCTGAGACCACAAGAGCTCAAAGTAGGAGAATCAGAAGGATATCTGGTTTTGACAATCTTAAAAAGCCCATTTCTTTTGATATTTCTGAAAGCAGGGCACAATTATGCCTTTAGAAAAAGAGTGGCTTTGTTGGTAGAGATAGGACTAAGGAATAATGATGCTTAAAGCAGAAGAGAAGGAAATCCAACAGGATTTAGCAACTAATTGATTCTGTGAATGAAAGGTGAAGGACAACATAAAATCAAACCCAACCACCAGTACAAGGACAAACTGAGGTTTAAAACATTAACTTAAAACTTAATTTTATTAATTTAAAACTTTAAAAATTACAAAATAGGCATATCATGGGATACAAGTCCTAACGCTGAGCAGGCGGCAAAATGGCATGTTGAAGAATGTGTATATACGTGTATGTCAGGAGTGTGTACATGTTCACACACACGTGCTTTCACTTATTTTACTAAACAAATATTTAAGAAGCACCTGCTAGGTAGCAGACACTTATCTAGTTGCTGGGCATAAAGCAATAAACAAAACAAAGTCCCTGCCTAACAGCAAATAAACAAACAAGTGAATATATAAAAGATAGTGATAACACCATGGAGGGAATGAAGCAGAGTCAGGAAAGAGGGAGCTCAGAAAGGAGGGATGTTACTTTATATGAGCTGGTCAGGGAAAGCTTTGTTGACGTAGTGCTGTCAGAACACAGTCCTGAAGAAAATGAAGGAGACATGCAATTCTCTGGGGAAAAGCAGTCCAAGCAGAAGGTACTTAAAGTGCAAATGCCCTGGGGCAGGAGTGGGGTTACAGAATTAAAGGAACAGAAGGGAGGCCACTGCTGCTGCGGCAAAATAAACAAGGTGGGGAAGAGGAGGAGGAGGAGAAGTCAGTGAAGTTAGAGAAGCTGGGAGTGGAAGGGGACAATGTGGGAGTTTTAGTGTCACCAGGAAGACTCTGGGGGAGATGAAAAGGCATCAGAGTTCTGCATAAAAGAAAAATGGCACTGTTTATCCATAAACGAACTAAAGTTCACAACACCAAATCTAGGAAAATACTTCTTCCTGATGAGGTGATTATAAATTTCCATTTTCCAGTTTTACTTATTATTTTACAAGAAAAGGTACGTTGCATTAGGTATCAAGTTTGTTTTTAAGTGCACCAAAGTGACCCTAAGGTTGTTCTCTTGGGACAAATGGTTAGGTTGTCTGGCTCTGGATCAGGAAGGCTGGATTTAGTTCTTGATTTTGTGCACATTCAAGTTGCCTAATGGCTGCCAACCTCCATATATTTCACTTCAGGGGAGGTACTCATGCCCACCTCATCTGGCTGGTTGGATGTAAGGAAAAGACTCAGTACTCAGCTCAGCTCCTAATAACAGTGACCCCCCACCCCAGCCAGAGTGGTCTCTGTTCACATTACCTCCAAGCACAGTCCAACCAAATCTGCTTTAAGCAACAGCTAATATGAGCAAGTAACCGTAGCACGCATTGGGTGCGGCTCACGTGGTAATCTGGGCTGCTTGCTTTTTACCTCCTCTGCGCAAGTCACTCTCAAGGAGAAACCAGTCTAACTACCAAAACCCAAACTGAAAGGATCCATTTGGCAGCAAAGAACACCAAATCCAAACCACCAAAACAAACAGACTAGCTTCGCATTTAATTCATCCCTGAGGTTCGCTGAACTCATCTCTCAAACCTTTTTATTCCCTTAAACCTCTTCTTCCTCTTCTGTCATGATCTAAAACAGCCAATAATTTGAACTTAAAATATAGACTGATAGCTGCTTGTGAAACAAAGGGAAAACTCTGGATTTTCAAAGATTAAAAAAAAAATAATATGTTTTACACAAGAACGAACTTCTGACTACGTATTTTGAAAACATTCAAATACCTAGAACTCTCCGTGTGTAATATTTACCTACCATGTCAACATACATTCTCTCAGCAGAGAAGACTATTACACAGACTTTATCATTAAGGGAAGCCTCAGCCACTTTCATTCGACATTCTAGTTTAAAGGACAATTTTTGTGTCTTGTTTTCTGAGGAGGAGGAATAAACAACTTTACCATCTTCTGGCCCAACCGTCCTCTCTAGCGAATGTCAACTTGGCCCAGTTACACTTACTTTTCGTGCAGGAAAATGGCAGGGTTTGTTCCACATCGGCTCTGTGTATGTGCGTAGAAATTTCACCATTTAATTTTCATGTCTGGGAGGAAAGGAGCTTATAATTATGCTGGGAGGTAGAACTGTAATTAGGTTTTCAAATACCATAGGTATCCCTATGATCCAATTTAAAATAACAGAGAGTTCTGGTACTGTGTTATTGGGTTGGCTTTTTTTTCCCCCTTGAACCATCACATTCCTCAAACCTTAGGAATCATGAGAAAATCTTAGAGTTAAAAAGTGTTTTTAATTAAAAAAAAAAAAAACTAAGCTAATACAAACTGTTATTAGTATTTAGCATGAATAAGAATTTCATACATACCTGTAGATGCTTAAAAATTATTCTGGCTATGAGTTATATCCCGCAAAATAGGTTAATGGCAAGTTTAGAAAATAATCAGCTTAACCTTATTACCTCTCAGGATGCTAATAAGATTTTACAATCACACAGCTTCCTAACTCTCCGGCTACACAGTATACTTTATACGTGGCTCCTTTACACTTAGGGTTTGCAAAAGATGAAACATACACATTTTATAGGTCTTACTCAAGTGTAAGCAGAATGTTTGTGTTTGTGTGTGGTGTTTTTGTGTGGAGGTGGGAAGCAGGGCGGAGAGTATATATGCAAATGCTTTTCCCCACCCACCCTCAAAAAGTGAGTAAGATCATATTTGACCTATACAGGATAGTATGGAAGACATAACATGCAAATATTCTGCATAATTACATTTATTCCCACTTTTCTGTACTGCTCCCATTCTGGGAAGGAGAGAGAGAAAATGAAAATAAACACTCCTAATACTTGGTTGTATGATCTAATTACTGGAAGTAGCCCTATTCATTTAAAAACCCCCCTCACTGGTTCTAAACACCAAATAATCTTGGAAACATCTGAAAGTGTTAAGGGAAAAGACAAATCTATGAGAAACAGAGTATGTACACATGCCAGTCAAGCATTTGTAAAATATAAAATGCCTAATAATTTTATTCCAAAGTATTTCAAGAGCCGACTTCACTCAAACATACCCACTACATTACAAAAATCCCATGAATGTATAAATTGTATACAAATACCCAAAGTCATATGGAGCATATGTTATGTGAAACACTGATTCCAGGAAATAAAGGCATAGAGCTTCAATATAAAATGGGATTTTTTTAAACAACTGAGTAATTCTCGGCACACGAGATTATCAGAAAACCAACAAAATTAGAGAACCTGTTTGGAAATCTATAAGGAGAGAGAACTTTCTTGAGCACTTGGAAATAGAAGAAGGCAGTTCAAATTCCAGTAACTCCAGGTTTTTCTCCAATAAATTTTCACTACTCATTTTTCACATAAAACCTATAGGGGAGCATTTAGCACTTAGACAAAATGTAATATGCCTACAGTGTTGGAAACTTTCTGTGAACTGCCCTAATCATAAAAATAACATGTATTCAAAAGAAAAAGCTCTTGCAAGTAGCAAATATACCCACGGAAAAACCTATGTCAAGTATTGTTCTGCAGACTTTTTAGGTACTTAGTAACCATTTTCACATTTTGATTTTTTAGATGATTCCATTTGTATTTCCTTATATTCCCTTACTTGTAGGAGTATTGTGACCATGATTTTACTCCTCAAAACTTTAGTTTGACTTACAAAAAAGCTCAGCAAGAGGAGAAAACATTTTCCTTCATTAATTTGAAAATAACTTAAGCTATGAGCTGTATAAAGCAGCCTCCTTTTTCTTTTTCCTAAAAATACATATGAAATCAGTCATGGAGGATTATCAAATAACATGACTTGATGCAATTTCAGATACTGAGATTAAACAAAATCCAAGCCACTTGGTGAAGTCAGTAAACACCTGGACAAAGTTGAGTTTTTGGGGAAGGGGGATGTGATCCAAAAGGGGCCGTTGAGATTTTAAGACTTTTAACACCCCCCTCCAAATATACATGCCAGAGGAAATGTAAAATACTCACTTTTCTTAGAAATGCAGGCCCACACAGATTAATTTATTAGCCTCCAACAATCCAACAAGTCCAAGAAGTAACCAGCTTGAAATCTGAAGCAGAGAGGTTAGATGGTTTATTAGTAATTCTATGACTTGCTCTCTCCCGGTCAGTGCCGGGTGTTAGGGTGGCATTTGCCTAAAAGCAGCAGGCAAGAAGAAAACTCTTCCAAAACAACACAAATCTGGACAGAATGGAATTTTCCTGTTCCTTCAGTAAATGACAATTCTAATGTGGACAACATTCAGGTCTTGGGAGGAAGAAATAATCAACAGAAGACTTCATTTTGAATTCCTAATTCCTATAAGCCTAACCTTATCCAAACCTTTCACAAAATCTGTGAAACTACGAATGCAAGCAAAGCCCACGTCAACTAGTCTGGTACCAATGTTCTAGGAATTGCCAGCGAAGTTTGTTTGGGGATATTCCAAAACTGGTTTTTTACTCTGGGATAACAAATGTTACCATTGGCAGAGAATGGAAATACGGCTAAAGATTGAAGTCTTGTAAAATATTCCTTTCAGTATTTAGGTCTTTTATTACAATACAGAAATGATTGTTAATGCTCTTTGTCACTCCCAGATGGCTGTGAAAATGTCCGTATTAGCCATCTGTAGGTCAGAAACCTGTTAGGCATGTAGGAAATTAAAAACCTGTACTGGACCTTTGATTTCTCCAACAGAAACTAGCCTATCAACCACAACAAATGACTCAAAACCAGCATGATACTATGCCAAAAAATACTTTACCCCAAAAGCAGCAGATGTACTCAGGAAGCAGTTTTTATTAGGCTAATCGTTAATTGCAAAATATGCTATATTCATTTAAGTTCTAAGCACTAAATGTAAGTTTATTTATTTTTAAGTGTTATTTATCTCAGTAATCTCTACACCCAACGTGAGGCTCAAACTCATGATCTCGAGATCAGGAGTCACATGCTCCACCAACTGAGCCAGCCAGGCTCCCCAATACTAAATATAAGTTTAACATGGACAATTTTTTTTTCCCCGCAATGGGGAGCCTCTTTCAAGCATAAGGCTATTTTTTTTTTTTTTGCATAAAGCTATTTTTTAAGTTATTCACAATCTTATGCAAAATGGTGCTCAAAATGCTTAAAGGAATAAATATACAGGGATCAGGAAAGGAGATAAAGATCAGGACAATTAACATAAAACAGGGGCTTTGCCCCCCAAAATATCATTTCTTAAAAATGATCTGAATCAATGAAAATACAAGCTTGCCAACCGGTGAAAAGCTTTAATTCTGTCTTTGTAGTGCTATATGGTAACCAAGCCATTATTAGTCCTTAGAGAAAGGGAGAAGAACTGGATTAAAATATCTTTTGCCTTCAATGCTGATTTATGATTTCCTCCACAGAAAAGCACAATTTCTGCCAAGCAGAGGAGCACGGGGCTTATTGCCCGGGGGGGGGGGGGGGGGGGGGGAGCAAGGGGGAATAGCAATCTTTTCTGCATATAATAATCACTTTTATGTAGTCCACTCATGTAAAACACAAAACAAAGGCCTAAGGGATCTACAGTCCTGGCAGGATCTGCAAAAATAAGGAACAAGAAAAGCCATGTTAAGAGACATTTCCAGAGTTTTTCAGCTCTCATGAGAAACAAGCAGTTGTTGCACTTTCTATGACCTATGCCATGGAAAAGGGATGCCTTTCTTCCGCCATTCTCTCTCTGAATAAAGCAATTTTTTAAAAAGAACCAGAAGGAACCAGCTATTTTACAAAAATCATAGAACCTTATCAAAGTCTAAATATTTCTGACGCATCTTAATGAATCTCCTCACCCCCTTGAAATGGCTAGACTCATTTAGTTACTGGAAGGGCCTGCCTTCCCTGAGTCATTTTGCCCACCCCACCCCAGCTTCATCTCCCATGAGGACTGTCCTCAGAGATAAAACAATACTTTTGCATGATTACGTTGACAAAAGTTTTAAAGCAGCAGCCCTGTCTCCCTGAACTCCCCAGGACTTCAAACTCCAGTTCTCTAAACCACTTTGATTAGGTCACCATTTCCAGACCTCTGGTCACACTATCTCCCTACCCTAACACTGGCAACCTTCCAACGTGGCAACATTCCTTAAAATGGTGGGTATGGAGTCTAGCACAAGAATCTCCAACACAGAGCACAAAGGGAATGTTCTCTCCAGGAAAACGGACGCTACTTTCCATTAAATCTGCTAAACGTGGTAAGGTTAACGTTCCTTAACTCTCCATTACCAGAGCATCACACATTTGTGCTCAACGACAACCCCCAGGAAGAGTATGCCCAACCAAGCCATCTTCATTTTTAGTTAAGTTTTTAGATGTCAATTCACAACATAACATATAGCCCTGTTCATGAAAATAGTATCCAATTCACTTCACCGGGTCCTCTCGTAAGGATTATTTTCTGAATTCTGTCACCAGTGGTCTCTCCCAGCTTTGTTTCAACCACAACTCCCAATCACTGATGAAAATGCTGAGTATGAACTTTGCAGTGAGCACTTTGAAATTCCAAATCATTTCCTCCTAATGCACGTCTTTTTTGTTTTTTTAACCAAAGAAAATACCAGTTTTCATAAAGCAAGCACTTTAAGCAGAAGCTGAGAAATCTGGTGAATGGCAATATGTTAGAAAGGAATAATTCATTTAAAACTGTTTTGTTGGGGGCACCTGGGTGGCTCAGTGGGTTAAGCCTCTGCCTTCGACTCAGGTCATTAGGCTCCCCACTCAGTGGGGAGCCTGCTTCTCCCTCTGCCTGCCGCTCCCCCTGCTTGTGCTCGCTCGCTCTCTCTCTCTCTCACAAATAAATACATAAAATCCTTTAAATAAATAAATTATTAATTGATTTTTAAAACTGTTTTGTTAGGGGGCGCCTGGGTGGCTCAGTCGATTAAGTGACCAACTCTTGGTTTCAGCTCAGGTCATGATCTCAGGGTCGTGAGATGAAGCCCTGTGTCAGGGTCCAGGCTTAGCTTGGAGTCTGCTTAAGCATCTCTCTCCCTCTCCTTCTGCTCCTCCCCACTGCTTGCCCTCTCTCCCTTCATCTCTAAAATAAATCTTTAAAAAACAAAACAAAAACTGTTTTGTTGGACTGAGCATGACCACTATCTCTACCAGCACGGATGTCTCTACTATAGTTGTCTTGATGCATGGCTATGCATTCTCTTCAGGATGCATCTTAACAGGAATGCCAGCAGATATCTCCAAGTTGCCAGTTTTAAGTAATTTACCACTAATATGCATCTAAGCACTGAATGTTAACCAGATGGGAATCATCAAGCACCCATAGTATCAAATTTGTTGAAACACCGGTATTCCCAAAAGTCAGCTCTTTGTGCCCCGTTCAGTTCTGTGAGACAGCAGGTTTATCCAAGGCACAAGCAAGAGTTGCTTATCAAGTGTGTCTTTCATCATTTTTTAGATAACACATATAATTCAGATAGCTCTGTCTCGTTCAATTTGAAGGCCTGGAGGAGAAAAGAGAAGTAGGAACTACTTGATTATTAGCCTCAGCTGGCTCCATCTCCCTGGTCTAAGAGGATGTCCCCCCAAATTTTCTCAAAGGTATGGAGAATGACCAAGGGAATCAAATGAGGCCAGCAAGAAGAATGAGGTGAACGATGGTCTCTGGACTTGAGCCTGTTGAGTCCCTGAGCCTAAGGCCCAAAGTGATGGATGTATTTTCTTACGGATCTTTTCCTCACCACAGACAAACTCTGCAGACAAGAATGGTTTTTTATTCAGTTCACAGATCACCAATTCACAGAAATCCAATACCCGGAGAGAGTCAGCCACAGAACATGAAGGCTCCTTGGTGAGAACCCATCAAGCTCCAGGGGCTTTCCCAACACATGTCCTGCATTATTCCGGTCACATCCACAGAAAGCCTTCCTGGGCACCCTTGGGTTTCTGCAGGCCGATCCATGAGGCCCACTCATACAAGCAAATGGGTTCTCCAGCAGGACCGCCAACGGCCTTCAGCCTCTGGACAGCTGAGAGAGCAGTAAGCCAGAAAAGGCTGTGGAAGGACGCTACACAACAGGGCACAAAACAGCATTCATCCAGGGCCCTGCTGAGCACAATCCCCCACCCAGCTGGATGGAGTGGTGATAGAGGCAGCATTATGGAGGGCGAGCTGACTTGTCAGTCACCCACTTAAGGAAGTTCTGCTCTCTTCATAGCACTGTAAGTCCACTTTAAGCCCCACCCAGAGCAGTGAACAGGGCCGGGTCACAGCAGATTAAATTCAGTGTTCCAGACAGCCCTCAGCCAGAGGAAAGAAGACCCTTTTTCCCCTGTGAGGCACGGATTGGAATCACAGCTAGAATCCCACCTCTGGTATGGTGGGCTGGATAAGAATACACTTTTCCTCCCCGGTCCTCAGCCTCATCTGAGCCTTAGTCCAACCTCGATGTTCCATTCCACAGCTGGGTCTCTCTCAAAGCAACCCGAAGAGTTGTTCTCTGCTCCGGGCAGCCCTCCAGTAAACCTATACACACAGTGTCAGTGTCTGACCACAGTTCAGAACCACTCAGTAAGACGCTGACTCTCGGGTCGACTGTCAGGGATTAAGGCAGCAAAATGGCACACTGAACCCAAAAAATAACCGCAGTTGAATTCTCTTCATTAACAGTAGGTTTGTGTATTTAAAAGATGTGCAAGGAAAATGTTTACAATACTTTCCCTTTGGGGGTACCCGGGTGGCTCATTTAAGCATCTGCCTTTAGCTCAGGTCACGATCCAAGGTTCTGGGATTGAGCTCCACGTCGGGATCTCTGCTCAACGGGGAGCCTGCTTCTCCCTCTCCCTCTGGCCTGCCACTCACCCTGCTTGTGACTCGTGCACATGCAATAAATAAAAAGATAAAATCTTAAAAAAAAAAAAAAAAAAAAAAACAGGTGATCGGAATTGAAAATACACCACCCATTTCCATTCACTGACAACAGAAGTCAGAGACCAACAAATTCAACATTTGGCGTTAAAGGCAGGCACCCTGGTGAAATGTCTGAGTCAAAAGAATTTTTTTTTAAATATTTATTTGTCAGAGAGAGA